CCAAGGTTGTGCTCTCCAGAAATGTGGTTTGGTTTGCTTTCTGGAGTGGCAGTGGAAGCAACTGAAAAAAATTTGCACTTGGTGATTTGCCTATGTAATTTGATCCTTTTCCACACAGTGTCATTCAAACTATTGTTTTTTTTTACAGTATAATAAGGAAAAGACGTTAATCAGATTCTAATTTTGGCCTTAGGAGTTAAAAGATTTTTTTTTTTTTAAGACTTTTCAAGCCCAACATGAGGCTTGAACTCAACAACGCCGAGATCAAGAGTTGCATGCTCTACTAACTGCGCCAGCCAGGTGCCCTGGAGTTAAAGAATTTTTAATAACTTTTAAAAGGAGCTATTATAAAACGACTAATGGAGGAAAATAGCTAATTGAAAGATTCACTTGGTTGGTTTTAAGTTGATTTAGACTTTGCTGGATAAAAATAAGTATCCATCCTCTAAGTAGAGAAAGGAAAGCCTTGTGTACTCATCTCTCCAGATATGTCTGTTCTTTTAACTTGTTAGCCCTTGCTATAACTGCCTCCTCTTGTATTCTGTATGATATTATTTAGCCTTAAACTTCTAATAGACAGGAAGGAGTTCATTACCTGTTTCTGCGGAGACAAGGTCATTACTCTGTCCAGAAGATGTTTTTATCTAATCTATAAATCTTTGTTAAAAATACTGAATAAGGGCACCTGGGTGGCTTAGTCAATTGAGTGTCCGACTTCTGATTTCAGCTCAGGTCATGATCCCAGGGTCGAATCAGGCTCCATGCATGGAGCCTGTGTAAGATTCTCCCTCTCTCCCTCTGCCCCTCTCCCCAGCTCATGCTCTCGCTTGCTCTCTCTCTCTCTCTAAAAAAATAAAAAAGTTAAAAAAAAAATACTGGGGCACCTGGGTGGCTCAGTCGGTTGAGCATCTGACTCTTGATTTCAGCTCAGGTCATGATCTCACAGTTGGTGGGATCGTGGGATCTAGTCCCTTGTTGAGCTGTGCACTGATAGTGCAGGGTCTGCTTGGAATTCTCTCTCTCCCTCTCTCTCTGCCCCTCCCCCCCTTCTCTCTCTCAAAATAAATAAATAAACTTTTAAAAACAGTCTTCAGTAGGTCTGTAGTCAAATATACTTCTCACATGCTTTTAATATGCCACATTATTTTCTACATAAACAGTCCCTAGTGTTTAAGGATGTGTATTAGCCATGTCCTAAATGAGTTAGAAACATTGTAAACGTTTTGCCAAAAATTGGAAGAATGTTTATCTTGATATTTAGTATCAAAAGTAACTTTCCTTATTTTGAAGTTTTATTAGCCCATAAAGATTCCTGATTATGATGTGTTCTTGGCAAATTGAGCCTTTTATCAGTAAAGCTGTCCTTTTGTGTTCCATCTGAGGCTTTTTAATGTTTTTTTTGGTCTGATACTGCCTTATTTTTCTTAGTGTTTGCCTTCTCTAACTTTTATAGTCTTTTTGACCTGTCACTTTGTTTTAGGTCATGCCTGATAGCATAGTTTGAAAATTTTTTAATATGGAGATTTAACCTATTGACATTTGTTGTTATTAACCTGTTTAATGACTCCTGCCATATGTAACCTTTTTTGTTTCTTCCTTTATCCTCCCCTTTCTACTTGTATTGATAATTTGCCCTACTTTTGGGTCTATTTTTAGTGATAAGGAAGTTATACTACCTCTATTTCTGTTCTTGCAGTCAACCTTAAAAACTAGTTTGGCTAGGTAAAAGATTCTAGATTGGATATAATCTTTCTTCAGAACTTTAAAGTTGTTACTTCATTGTTTTTTAGTACCCCATGTTGGTGATATTCTAATACCACTTTGGTTCTTTTTCCTTTGTGGATAATCTGTTTTTTCTACCTAAAAACTTTTAGGATTTTTGTTGGCACATTTCACCATGATGTGTCTAAAAATGTGTGTTATTTCAGCTCCAGGAATTTTCTTTTCTTTTCTTTTTTTCTTTTTTTTTTTTTTTAAGTAGGTCTCACACTCAATGTGGGGCTTGAACTCACAACCCTGATCAAGAGTTGCATGCTCTGCTGACTGGGCTAGCCGGTGGCCCCTCCAGGAATTTTTCTAATATTTCCTTCAACACACCATTCTGTGCCTTTCCTTCTAAATTCCAGATAGGTAGATGTTGGAACATCTGAATTTATATTCCATGTCATTTAGATTTTCCTCCAAATGTCTCATCTTCCTGTCCTCTATTTTCATTGCATTCTGACAGATTTCCTTGGCTCTATCTTCTACTTGTTAATTTGCTCCTCAGTTATGCCCATTCTAATATATAGTCCCAGACTGTCTATTAAGATGATCTCAGCAGAAACTGAGTTTTTTCTTTTAATGTTTATTTTTGAGAGAGAGACAGGGAGGGAGAGAGAGGGAGAGGGAGAGATAGCTCAAGCAGGGGTGGGCAGAGAGAAGGGAAGGCACAGAATCTGAAGCAGGCTCCAGGGTCCAAGCGGTCAGCACAGAGCCCGATGTGGGGCTCAAACCTATGAAATGTGAGATCATGACCTGAGCCAACGTCATATGCTTAACCGACAGAGCCACCCAGGCACCCCAATCCCAGACTGTCTGTTGAGTTGATTATAATAATCCTTTTTAATTTTCAAGATGTCTAATTAGTATTCTTTCAAAGCAGACTCCTTTTAAAATGACTGTGATAGCCTCTTATTCCTCTGATGTTAAAGTTTCAGTTTGCCTGGTTTATCCTGTTTTCTCAAATACTAGTTTTTCTATTTGAGTTGGGTGCCTCTCTCTTAGGGTATTAAATTTTTTTCTATGGTAGCAGTTCTCAGCAGTTTGGTCTCTTGTAAGACAGCCAGGGTATGCCTATCACTTACCTCTTGGGTGTAGGGGATCCTCACTCCTTCTGGATGACAGCCCTAGTCCAGGCTCACTTCTCCTCTCAATGGAGTGGGAGGACTGTAGGGGCTGCTTCAAATGCACTTTTCCAGCAATAACTTGATAGTTACCCTCCTATAGTCTATAGATATATAAGAGATTCCTGATTGTCTATTATGGATATTTTGTGCTAAAGATTTTCACTGTCAAAGCGTTTGGAAGATGATTGAGGCTTTTGACAAATAGAAGATTTTATATTCATCTTTTAATTTATTTGTGGTTTATTTGGGTCTCCTACATCCTAGTTTTAAATTTTTTTTTTTCAACGTTTATTTATTTTTGGGACAGAGAGAGACAGAGCATGAACGGGGGAGGGGCAGAGAGAGAGGGAGACACAGAATCGGAAACAGGCTCCAGGCTCTGAGCCATCAGCCCAGAGCCTGACGCGGGGCTCGAACTCACGGACCGCGAGATCGTGACCTGGCTAAAGTCAGACGCTTAACCGACTGCGCCACCCAGGCACCCCTACATCCTAGTTTTAAAATGTGTTCCTTATTGACACTAGCTGGCTTAAACTAGCTGTTTAATATTCTGAACTTAGATAAAAGGAGTTTCCAACAAATCTTTGCACACTATACTTTTAAAAAATAATTAGAGTAGTACTTGGATTAAAGGAGAAGGGAAACAAAAGGTAAATAGTGGGGGGAAAGCAGCAAAGAAAAATGAAGCAAGAGTAAGGGGGAAAAAGAGCACATTCAAAAAAAGGTTGGTGTTTCACTTTTCTGTTTAGGAGTGAGATGCCCTGGTCCATAAGCAACTTGGCTTTCACGACTCCTGTAAGTTATTTGTGAGGGCAACTACTTCTGCTTTTGTTTTGTCAGTGCTTACCTGTTGCAGACATTATGTATTCTTTCATAATCACATATTTGTTAAAGTTGGATGATGCTGGGGCGCCTGGTGGCTCAGTTAGTTGAGTGTCCAACTTCAGTTCAAGTCATGATCTCACGGTTTGTGGGTTCGAACCCCATGTCGGGCTCTGTGCTGGCAGCTCAGAACCTGGAGCCTGCTTCGGATTCTGTGTGTCTCTCTCTCTCTCTCTCTCTCTGCCCCTCCCCCATGTGCGCTCTGTCTCTCTCTCTTAAAAATAAACATAAAAAAATTAAAAAATAAAGTTGGATGATGCTGACAAACAATAAGTTTTGGGTAAAGACATGCCACAAAGCTCTTGGACTTAGCAGCTAGAATCTGGATAACTGGAATTGTCTCCAGAACGCTTCCCAAATGTTGACTGAAGTATTCACAACTGTCCTCAGTGGGTACTACCTACGAACTCTTCTTATTGTACACAGTATGTAAGTTGGGTCCTCTAGGAAGACTCTGAGACTAAGACAAGAGTACAGAAAATTTATTGATGAGCAAACAACAGATTTGGGATAACAATTATAATGAAGATGACAAAGTGTGTCTAGTATCTATTCTATACTATTGACAAACAGCCCAACAGAAAAATAGCAACACACATGAATAAGTGGTTTTCAGAATAAAAAAGCCTCATGGCCAATAAACATGAAAAGATTTTCAGATTCATTAATAGAGGAAAATGTAAATCAAAATAATATTGGAGTATTACTTTATACCATGGTTTTTCGATGAACTTGGCACTATTGACATTTTGGATTTGATAATTCTTTGTGTTGGGGGGCTGTCCTGTGCATTGCAGAATGTCAACAGCATCCCTGATGTCTACCCACTAGGTAACAGTAGCAGCTACCCAAACCTACCCCCTGCAGTTGTGACCATCAGAAATTTCTCCAGACATTGTCAAATGCATCCTAACTGGTAGTCACTTCTGACTGATAACCCATTAGGTTGGCAAAAATTAGCTATCACAACTCTTGCTGGCAGGAATGGCAAGAAAGTGGATTTTAAATATAAAGTACTACAGCAGTTTTTTTGAAATTAAAAATACATAAACCTTTGGCTTAGCAGTCCTACTACTGAGACTTTATCCCATGAAGATATTTATATGAAGTGACTTACATCGTAAACAGCTATTCTACATACCCATTTTTCTTCTGTGAGTTTATCACTGTTTAGTCTCTGATCTTAATCTATTCCTGAGTATTGATAAGTGTTCTTTCTTCTCATTTCAGAACTCTCTTGATAGAGCGCAAGCAGCCAAGAACAAAGGCAACAAATATTTTAAAGCAGGAAAATATGAACAAGCTATTCAGTGCTATACTGAGGCGATCAGTTTGTGCCCTATAGAGAAGAATGCTGACCTTTCCACATTTTATCAAAACAGAGCTGCTGCCTTTGAACAGTTGGTATGTATCTTAGGATTTTTTTTTTTTTCCTGTTCTTTTTGTTTTCTTTATTTGCATAATGTTTCAGTTAGTACCACTCAAATAAACCTAATAAGTTTTTTGAAGTTTTGAAATTACAGGCTTTTTGTTTTCATATCTTTTAATTACATAACTTTTTTAAGAACAGATTTGAGTTTTGCTGGTTAAAAATATAATCTAAGATTATATATATCAGGTTCTATACAATTAGACAATACAGGAAATTACAGTGGAGTTTCTGGTAACCCCATCCTTCTCAACAGTTTGAGGCTATTTTTTTCAATTTTTTGTTTCCATAAATATTAATAGTAGCATGCGGGGAGACCAAACGTATTACACAGAATTGTTTGTGACATTCTTTAATTGCCACTATATCTTGTGCAGCTTTTCTTAGCACATGCAGATTTGTTTTATTCTTTCTGAAATGGTATATGTAGTAGCTGTTACATGGTTGTATACTGGAGAACATCTAGTGATGAACATTTGGGTTGTTTCCTGTTTTACCTATTGCATTCAGTATTTGAGTAAATATTTTCATTAAGTATTTTTTTGCATACTTTCGGGAGGATAAAATTCTAGAAATGGAAATCTAAAGAGATAGCATCAGCACCTACTCCCAACAATATGAGCATGCTTGTTTTCCATTACTCTCGCTGACTATATTATCAGTCTTAATATTATTTGCCATTTTTTCTCTCATTGTTTTAATTTGCACTTTTAGAAATGTTGCTGAAGTTCACTATTCTTTTCTGCGGTTATTGGGCATTTGTAGTCTCCGCATTTTTTTGTTCAACCAGATATTACTGACTATCTTCCTATATGGAAGGTTGCTATGGTACAAGCTGGGTCTATAAAAGCAAATCATTATGCATAGAACTCAAGGATAGCTAAACAATGAACTATTTAAATGACATTTTCACAAATGCTTTAAATAATTAACATGATTCAGTAATAAAAAAATGACTAGAGATGGGATTGGTGCATAAAACAGTAGAGGAGACAGTGTTACAAATAGAGGAAACGGTGTGTATAATTGCTCTGAGGCAGGAAAGAGTTTGGTGTGATTAAAGAATTATAAAGGATCCTGGAGTATAGAGAGATGCAATTGGAGAGGCAGCAGAGGGCAGATGAGACAAAGTCTACAGCGGTAAGGAGTTTGAATTTGATTCTGAGTGTAATGGAAATATTTAAGGGTTTTAAGTAAGGCAGGGACATCCTCTAAAATTGCTTTCAATGTTCTGTCAAGAATATATTGTAGGGAGGCAAGAGTGGAGATGGGGACACCAAGTAAGGATGTTGCTGAGGCAGCCTATGTGAAACATGAAGTAAGCTGAGACCAACAAGTTGCTGTTATATTGGATATGAAGGGTGAAGAAAAGCAGGAATGTAAATAATAGTGGAATGGGGAAGGAGTGAGACAGCTACGTAGAAGTTGAATTGAGAAATGTCTCTTTTGGGAGTCATCTAATTTTCTATTTTATATAATGCCAGGATGTTAGATGTGGTCACCTAGGGGGAGAGAAGAGATGAGACCTTGAGGACTCAGGTGGAGGGGAAGAATTTAGCAAAGGGAATTGAGAAGGAGCAGCCAGTGAAGTAGGTAGAAATCAATTAGAGCGGCAGTTCTTTGGAGGTTTGGCAATAAAGAGGAACCAAGAAATGGGGTAGTAGCTGCAGGGAATTATGGACTCAAAGGAGGGTTTTTAAAAGATGGAAAATAACTAGTGTAAGTGTTTTTTTTTTTTGTTTGTTTTCTTTTTCTTTATATGCTCATGGGAATGATTCAGTAGAGATGTAGATTGATGTAGAGGTGAAATAGCTAACAAAGTAAAGTCTTTGAAGTGGAGAGAGTATGGATCCAGCTCACAAGTGGAGGATTGGCCTTTGATGAAGAGGGGTGCTTCCTCAGTTTTAACAGGAGGGAAGGAGATGATAGGAGCACAGAGATGCAGGTAGGTTGGTAGATTTGGTGGTAGAAAGATGGCCCAAGTATGTCCTTTGCCTGTTTTTGAAAATCAGGTTGCTTTTCTTTATTTACAGGTATTTACAGAGCTGTTGTAATATATTGTGGATCTTAACTCTTTTTATGTATTGGGAATATTTTTGTGTGTTGTGAGACTTAACACTCAGCCTGTTAAGTTTCGAAAAGTAATTTCTGTTGAACAGCGATTCCTTTAGTGTGACTTTTTTTTAATACTTTCAATTACAGCAAAAATGGAAAGAGGTGGCACAAGATTGTACAAAGGCTGTTGAACTTAATCCCAAATATGTGAAAGCTCTCTTTAGACGTGCAAAAGCCCACGAGAAGCTAGACAATAAGAAGGAATGTTTAGAAGGTGAGGGTATTTTTGTGTTTACATATGAAAATTATATAAGGCTTTGTAGTCATTGGTAAGTTTATATGAAGTAGAGAAATCACTTGTATTTAAAAGTTAGATTCTTCCCCAGCTGAGAATTTGTTTTCTAATTTAAATTGAGATTTCTGATACTTGAGTATTGTTTCTGTTCTCAATTATGGGACTAAATTAGTATTAAGATTTGAAGTTTATATACCATACATTTTTAACTTGGCAATTAATGAGCATCAGTGTAATTCCATGATAAAGAAATCAGAAAAGAGGTTTTAGTAAGTGACAGTGTTGCTAAGATTCTACATATTTTCAGTTAATGTCCTATATAAACATGAAATAATTTTCAGATGAGTCATTAAAGAAAACATTTGTATTTTTGTGCTTGGTATTTTCAAACATTATTTTATACCCAATTGGAAATTATGTATTTGGTACAAAGCATCAGGTGAATTTGCCATTCTGATAAATTCTGTAAGTAAATATTCTGCAGCCTCTAATTGGGCATATCTGCTTCTAAAACTCCAATTAGAATATAGGCTACTGGCTTATTTTAATGTACATTTTTGTGGGTGACGTGGAGCTAAACCAAAGTGATTTCTACAAGCTAAATCTGCTTTAAAAGCATCAATAATCAGATTTAGCCATAATTACTTTTTAAAATAACATTATTTAAAAGGAAAAATCCATTTTATTTTTAAAAGTCTGGATTACCAAGTGAGAGTGGTTTAGAGACCATTTTAGAAAAATTTGAGGTTTTGTGGTGGTGTGTATTTTGGTGATGGGTAGAAGGACTGTTGCTTTGGAAAAAGAGAATTCTGAGTTTTGAGCCAGCCCTTGAAGTTATTACCAGTTAATAATTGGCAGAAAGCTGATTAAGTGGATTTTAGATAGGTGGACTGAGATGGGAAAAAGACATTGACTTTGGCATTAGCCAGGTTATCCGGGGAACATATGAACAGATTGACTTGTTTGGAGGAGCAAAGATTTGGAATTCTGAGAAACTGAATTCAGAAAGAGTGGGAACAGCCAATGCTTGAATACTCTAAAAGGTTGAGAGGTTCAGGAACCACTGATCTTTTAAATTTCAAACCACTTTATCTTGAGCTGTGGCATAACCAGATGAAAATGGTATTTTGAAGCAGATTTAATTGAGAGCTCCCTGGCAAGATGGCTTTGGACACAAGGAATAACTTGTGAGGTCTATAAAAAGAATCAGACATGAGAAAGCCACATTACATTGATAAGGCCTTTAGGTGCTGGGCACAAGGGAGTCTTCCTGGATTCTTCATTTAATTACTATGTAGAATGTGAGGGTGGTAAGAAACATCACAAACCATACAGGATAGTTCCTTGGATTTCACAGGTGAGAAAAGTGAATAACCAGAGAAGTGGAATGAATTTCTGAGTTTCAAGTTTGAGTTATAGAGTATATAAAACTAAAGTGTTGAGAAGCAAATTATTGGAAATGGAATTGATAGCTACATCAGGCCATCAATTTGGTTTGGCTTTCTGTGGTACATGGTGCCCATTTGATGCTGCTAATCATCTTTGCAATAATTTTATACTTTTGTTTTTTCCATCATCTCTAGATGTCACTGCTGTGTGTATACTAGAAGGGTTCCAAAATCAACAAAGCATGCTGTTAGCTGATAAAGTTCTTAAACTTCTTGGAAAAGAGAAAGCCAAAGAAAAATATAAGGTAAATCTAAGTTGGTTAATAGAGGGGATATACATTGTGAAGAGTCATTTTAATTTACACTGCTTGAACTTGGGCATGATGGCAGTGGTAACAACTGAAATTAGATCTGTGTTACACTTCTTTTTCTGTAATATTGGGCTTTTGTGGCTTATCTTTTTAAAAGAAGAATGTAGGCTATATGCAATATTGTATCTGGAGAATACTGAAAGAATTCATCTGTATTAGAGGTTGCCAAACAAAGCCTATGGACCGCATCCAGTCTGCCACCTGTTTGTATAAAATTTTATTGGAACACAGCACTCAGCCATCATTTTTGGCTGCTTTTAAGCTAAAACAGCAGAGTGAGGTGGTTGTGACAGGGACTGCATGGCCTGTAAAGCCTAAAATACTTAATATCTGGTCTTTTATAGAAACAATTTGCCAGGCCCTGTCTATATCATTAAAGGTATATTTTTAAGCATATACTGTATAAATTGGCATTGGTTTTAAGCAGTCTGTAACAGATAATTTAATTCAAGAAGCCTTATTGAACAAAACTCCATGGTGGCCATTTTAGAAATAAATGGTCCTTGCCCTTACAGAATTACAGTTTAGTGAGAGAGACCATTAATAAGTATAAAAGGCATGATGTGGGGAAGTGTCATGAGGGATAGAAGTAGTGTCATGGGATTACCACAGGCATCACTAAATATCTGTCACTGGAAAATTTCTGCTAAACTTCAGTAATATCAAGGCAATTGTTCCTTTTTTCTTTAAGAATAATGTTTCCCTTAAGTTGATTTTAATAAGCTGTGTGTTTTTTAAATTTTACACCCCTGAATATTAGCTGAGTTAAACAGTTAAAATGGGTTTCTTCACTGCAGGACTTTCATGTGCTAGGATATGTTGTGAATCTTGGAGAGGAGTATAGCTGTAGTTGTTCTCAGTCTCTTTAAACTGTGCTTTTTTTCCCCTTGAGCATTTCCTAGAACTGGGATTCCTCACAGTACTGTAAAATATCATTTAATAGTCTCACAACCTTGAGGGAGCCTAATTTCCTTGTGTATATTTATAATGTTATTGTGGAGTGATTATATTGGTTGGTCTTCAGGGTGCTCAGAAAATACAAGATAACCCACATTTACATAGGTTCCAAATTAGTTTCCACTTATATTTTCTTTGAAGTTTTTGTTTAAGTAATCTTTATACCCATTATGGAGCTTGAACTCACAACCCCGAGATCAAGAGTCGTATGCTCTTGTGACTGAGACAGCCAGGAGCCTCTCCACTGTTCATATGCTACCTTTGTAAATCACAAAATACTTTTCATGTTATTGTTTTTATTTCTACAACAGCCCTATGAGAAAAATAAGGCAAGTATATTTGTTGCCATTTTACAGATAAGAAAACTGAAAGTGACGTGCAGGGTCACATGGCTAATTAGTGGCACAGCTGGAACTTGTATCTTATTCCTTTGTTACTTAAGTCCATCACTTCCATTGTATTTATTTTAAACGTGTAATTCTGTGTGGAAGGCAGGAAGATACCTTTTCCAAGCTGAAATAAATAGTAAACTAAAAGTAATGATTTAGTCTGTTTTCAGCAACTGCTATTTAAAGTGGCAAATGACTGCCACTATATATTCCTATACAATCTTTAGTGAAATACTGAAGTTAAGCATACTTGTCATTTGATGGGTGACCAATTGATTTACAGTATTAACCTGTATAATCCTAAATGAAGACATTGAATTTCTCCCATAAAAATAGGGCTTTCCCTAAGATTTCCTTTGTCTTCTTTCCCAATCTCATCTATTCTAGATTAGATAATTTACTTACAAAGCCAAATTCCCTTGGGGTGCTGGGGTGGTTCAGTGGGTTAAGCCTCCAACTCCTGCTTTCAGTTCAGGTCATGATCTCATGGTTAGTGGGATTGAGCCTGTTTAGGATTCTCTCTCCCTCTCTCTGCCCTCCCCTGCTTGTGCTTGCTCTGTCTTCTCCTCTCTCTCTCTCACTCGCTCTCTCAGAATAAATAAACTTAATAAAGAAAAAAGCCAAATTCCTTTTTGTCCTTCTTCAAATACAAAGGCAGGCATTGAATCTACCAAAAAAACAGGAATGGTATTTATTATGCATACAATTTAAAATACCGTATTTCAACTTAAAAATCTTTGGGTTAGATTTTCAAGATAAAGGATCCAAAATATAAGGGCCCTATGGTTATGTTATTCCCTGTACCCTCTTGAAGATTTTATCCTAATTGGACTAAAAGGAAATAATTCTATAATGGTGAATCACGTTGCCATGCCAAAAAGTAATTAAAACAAGAAATGTGATTTCATTCAGACTTTCAGTGGCATTTACTGTAATGGAGATCTTCAGATGCAGTACAGCTGGAGGTCAGATGAAAGCCCATGGTAAATGGACTTAACATTATAGCACCTGTGTAAGATGTGGTCTTGAGTGGTAAATTAAGATGCTGATCTAGAACAGAGACCAGAAGGAGATAATTTTTATTTTTTATTACATTTTTTAAAAATTCATTTTTAAGTAATGTCTATACCCAAGGTGGGACTCAAACTTACCACCCCCAAGAGTTGCATGCTCTGCCAGCTGAGCCAGCCAGGTGCCCCAGGAAATCATTTTTAACTCGGCAGTTATTTGCCTCCTGTGTTTGAGATTTCACTTTCTTGGACTTTAACATGTAGTCCTAGGAGGTCTGGATATTTTACATCTTTGGAGAGGAGAGGTGTCATTTAAAACCTGCTTTGAACAACTGGGATGAGTAGCTTTACCAGTTCCACTGTCTCTTGTCCTGTGGTTTGCAGTCTGATATTCTTCAGTTATTTGAGAATGAGATCCTAGTTTTTACAGCAGTCATTCTCAGTATTGTACAAATGTACCTGCTTCTTTGGTCGGTGTTTTCTCATTTTGAAATATTTAAATGTGATTGAATTTCAGAATCGTGAACCTCTGATGCCATCTCCACAGTTTATCAAATCTTACTTCAGTTCTTTCACGGATGATATAATTTCTCAGCCCATGCTTAAAGGAGAGAAGTCTGATGAAGATAAAGACAAGGAAGGAGAGGCCTCAGAAGTTAAAGAAAAGTAAGTTTATCAACTGTAGTGTCTACGTAGTACCACATGATACTCTCAAGAGGATTCCCAGTGAGTCGAATAGTTGACTGTATTTGAATAGGGGCACTAACTTGAAAATTATCATGTAGCTCAACATACAGATGTTTTAGTGCAGGGAAGTTTATAATTTATAACTGAGATGCTTAGGAGTGCCCCATAGAGTGACTTTCTTCCAAGTTTTTCCTGCTTGCCTAGCCATTCTTTGGGCTTCTTGTGTCTGTTTCTGTAGAAAACTGAAACCAAAGTACAAGATGCTGTGTTTACAACTGAGGATCAAGTCATGTATGTATAGAAGTCACCTAGTCTGCTCATCCATTTATATTTATCAGTATTGTGTTTTGCTGTTAAGGTTAGCTCTCCTTTCTAAGAGAAGGTATAATATTATTACCAACATGACATTTTTTAATGAGTTGGGAAGAAAAGGGAATATTCTAGTAGCAGAGCATAATTTTGTGTCCATGGAATATTGGAAAGTTTGAGGAAACATTGCTTTTGATTTGTATGTCCCTAATTTTTCAACCAATGTTGGCCACCTTTTAAGGGAGGATACCATGTATAATTGTAGTTGATACACAGTCTTTTCAGAAAATTGTAGTACAGAAGTAAATGTTGAAGACCATGCCAATAATTTCCTCTTCGGGTTAGGGAACATTCCTTGCTAGAAAAATTGCAGTGAAGTTAGAGTGCAGGGAATATTACCATGTAATTATAGGAGAAGTTAGCAGAGTTACAAGATTTTGACTGATAAGTTACTTGCCAGTTTTCTCTACTCAGGATATATAATGAAGGAAATGAGAAATGTATTTTAACTTACAGAGACTTATATTTGTAAGACCCCTTAAAGGTCAGCTAGTCATCTTAGAAGAATACTGATGTCACTGTATTTTAAAAATTTAGGGAACGGTGATTTTTTTTTAAAGTCCTACTTAATAGAAGAATCTTCCCTTAAATTTGCTTCTTTGATATTTCCACCTATTCATTCTAGGTCTGTTTTGTAAACAACACAACTTCTGGGTGAGAGTCCTTCAGATAATTCTCTGCCTCCAGTATTGCTCCTTGACAGTGCATTTTCTACAACATAGCCAGAGTGTTCTCTACCAAGCAGAGATCAGGTCACATCTCTTCCCTTGGCTTATGTGACCTAAACTTAATTATCTCCTAATTCTCTGTTCTTTCTGTTAGGCATAAAATAACTGTTGAGTGACATCAGTATGCCACAGGTGTGAAGGTGAATAAGACTGGATCCTTATCCATGATGCAGATCAGTCAGTCATTAGCTCATCCTTTAACATATATAAATGTCGAAGCCTGGGCAGTAACCCTCGGTTTCTGCTGTTGACTCTGCTGTTTACCTTTTTTTCCTAGTCTCCAAGACATCGAGAAAAATCCCAGTCTGCATCAGAAATCCTAATCAGTTATTCCTCCACCACCACACCACCCCATTCCAGTCCTATACTGGAATGTTAAGGAGAAGTAGATAGTTGATTAACTCTAGCATAAGAAATGTTGAAGTTTCAGTATTTGATCCTTCCTTAGTAAATAATTTCCTATGTTCATTTTTATTTTCAGTTCTGGATATCTAAGGGCCAAACAGTATATGGAAGAAGAAAACTATGATAAAATCATAAGTGAATGCTCAAAAGAAATAGATGCTCAAGGCAAATACATGGCAGAAGCATTATTACTACGAGCCACCTTCTACCTGCTTATTGGCAATGCCAATGCGGCCAAACCAGATTTAGATAAGGTCATCAGTTTGAAAGAAGCTAATGTGAAGGTACATTTAAAAATGTGTGTGTGTGTAAAAATTGATTAAAAAAAGGGACTTACAGGTTTTCCCAAATTTTCAAATTTTAGTTGCTATTCTCCAAAAGGCTGTTTTTATTTTGGAAGGAACTACCCCTAATGATGATTGGGTCAGTATGGTGAAACTGAAACATAAATATGAGTGATGTTTATCTTTAGCTAGGAAAGGATTTTTTTTTCTTTTTTCTGTGGCATCTGGTAACTTGAGCTTCCCGTTATAGCCACTGCTTACTGTATTAGACTGTATTTGGATAGGGGTAAGGGTGATATAGCAGTGCTATAGGTAATACTGTAAATAAAAATACAATAGGGAATACAAGATTATAAAATGCATTCAATAAAATAAACACATTTAATCTGAAAGATTTTTGTTACATGAATTAAAAAATAGGTTCTAAAAATATGATATAGAGATATATTGAAATATACCAAAAGTTTTTGTAGTTGCGCAGTTGGAACAGCTTTTTATCTTCCAGGTATTCTTATGTGTACATAATTATTTTCATAATTAAGATTTAGGGGGACCTGTTGAATTATATGAGTCTTCTCAGTGTTAACAAGACAAAGCTTAGCTACCAATTAACTAAAATTTCTTACTAGTTTGTTACATTTGTTCGGCCTGTTTGCTCAGTGAATTAAGTGAATTCTGTCTTTTTTCACCTCCAGATAATTCATTCATGTATTTTGTGGAATATAAAAGTTATTTTCAAGGCCTGAATTTTTAACAAACTATCTTAACTTCTTGTAAACAAAAATAATTACAACTAAGTATTATTAAAAGTTCCTTTTAG